CTTGTGTTGGTTGTGTTGTAGTAGGTTGAGTGTTCAGGCACTTTTTGATAAAGTTGTGTGGATATCCATTTTGTTGGAAGATGTCTTTACTCTGTGACAGTAGGTGGCAGCACCTATCTGACTTGCAAATCTGTCTTGCAAAGCTAAGCAGAGTTGGATCTGATTAGGACTTGGATGGGAAGTGTCCCATCCATGAAGAAGATAACAGCAAATCACTTCTGTAAGGTTACCATGAAAACTGTGTGGATGTAACCGTGAAGTCAACAGAAGTGAGCACAACTCAAAGGAGACCACTTAAATTACCAGCCAGATCTAAGTTCAAAAATGCTTAGGTGTAGTTCATATAAATAAATATTATAAATATACAGATATATTTTCAACTGAAATATGCTATTGCATTTCATATTTAAAATTTCATTATATCAAGTTGCTTTACTTGCCTTGTATCAATAAGCATCTTCACGATATACCACGAATTGCTATAAATTTATATTATTTGTAGTTATCTGATAATGTTTGTTCTAGTTGCCCTTATTTTGAAGTAAAACAAATTTCTGTCAATCAACAAAAAACATAATGTCATTAGGGAGTCTTTTTCATAGTGAAGTTTTACAAACTGAAAAATGAACCTATTTTACTTACACCTGAATTCAGTGGTATTAATAGAGTATGTTTTACAAGTTTTAAATTTCTGTATTTTTAAAATCTTGATTTTAATTAGATGCTGTATTTCTAGGCTTCTTTTTTGTTAGCTATTTTGAGTTAGTTTAGTATGAAAATTGGATTAAAGTATTTTAAATAATGTAACAAAGAAGCTAAAGCTGTTTATTTCCATCCAATGTTCCTGAATCTTTGCTCTCAATTCATTTCTAGTTTTATTCTTCTAAAAAAGAACAATTATAAACAATGTATTTCACAGTATTTTAGTTTTAGAAATCAGGTTGCATGCAACATCATACTGTGACTTTATACTTCTAGCAAATATGTTTCAAATACTGCCCTTTCATTGGAGAATTGTTTAATACTGCATCTGCTACATGAACTACTGGAGAATGATCCATCCAGTACATAAAAGGGTGTGTTTAATCAATTGTTGACTATATTCTAGCACCCACTAGAGAGTGACAAAGAGATAGCCATTTGAATGTCAAAGGACATTTTGAATGCCCATAAATACAAAAAGTTTCCTGAGAAAATGAAAGAGCTGGCTATGTTGATTCTCTTCCTCTCAAAAGAGGATTTTATCTAGCCCCAATTTTCAGTGAATAAAACAGCTGATTTCAAGGTACGTAAAGTGGCTGAGAAGTGATGCTTAATATAGGTACTTCCACCATTATGATTTGTGCTAAGAATCAACACTTAAGTAAAACTTTATTTATAAATATATATATTAAAAAGTATTATCTAGATATAGTGTATCATCTGCTTAGTCACAAAAGATTCTCCTTTATTTTTTTATTTACCACTTTAGTTATTTATTACTTTTTTATTATTTATTACTATCCATCTCAAGTATATCACTCTTTCAGGAGTAAATAAAATGATATCATGAAGAATGCTTTGAATTCTATTTATGATTCCATCCACCCTCAGTGTAACACAAATGCAGAGGAAATAGAACTGTCCAGCACTGCTACTACTGCCAGATTTTGGGGGGAAGGTGGGGGTGAAAGAAACCAGCCTTCATCCATTGCTTATCCTTGTGTGTACAGGCTGTTCATTAAGAGCCTGAGTGTTAATCACTCATGTACAAATGATTGCATTTAGAAATGAGAAAGGCACTTCCTCAACATGTCTGTCATATCTGAAGCCATTGGAGTGGGGACTGTTAAGTTGCCAAGATACAATTAGGTAGTAAGGAAAGGTTTTCAGAGAAAATATGCTTTTAAATCACTTGCTGAAAGAAACAAAATCCATTTGTTATCAGGAATCTACAGTAGAAATGGTTCCCCCCATCCCCAAATGTTACAAGCTTCCAGGTACCCTGAGTACTAACCCAGCTAACAACCTGGCCACTTGGATTTGAGAAGCACAATATTCTTAAATGCTGGATTCCAATCCAAATGGGGCAAGATACCAATAGCTAAACCTAGGAAGTTTGAACCTTACAAACGTTGATCTTTACAGGCTTACCTAATCCACATGCCTAAGTGAAGTTGCAAACATTTTCAGTCTTGCCAATATATAAAGCTATGCATTTTAAACATACATAAAGCTATGAATTTTTGAGAGAAACCTTTGACAAACTTTCTGTGGCTAATTCTAGAGGTTAATGGTATGGAATCACAGGCAAACAAGCCATAAATAAACAAACAAACAACCAGAGTAAAAAGAGCCCTATTGTCCATCCTGAGTTAATATAAACAGTGGATAGAGGCATATTAACATTTTTTTAAATGTTATCTTTTGATTAACTCTTATTTGACACCTCAGTCTTAAATATGAGAGAGTGTACAATTGTGCTAATGCAATAATTATATTCACAGTCCATTTCTTGGCTGACACAATAAGTTTTATCCTAGGTCAAGACTGGGACTTCACATATTTTCAATCTGAAACTGTATGGCATAGATGGAAATAGGAGTAAGGAAAAAAGTTGCTTTTCTGATAAGGTGTTTCTGAATCTTTTTGAAATATTTATTCATTTTATGTTAATTTATGCCACTAAGCCCATGGAGAATGACCATTAAACCAAAATTACATAAAAGGGGAGATTAACAAAAGGTTTGTTGAAATATTTAGGCAAAATGGTGACAAGACATAGAAAACAATTAAGCCATGATATGAAATAAATGGCACATTATCTTGATGGATTGATCATGTGCCATCAAGTCAGTATTGACTCTTAGCAATCACATAGATTTTCTCCATGAAGCAAATTATATAGAAAATGCTTAAATGTAATAAATCAGTTGCAATTAATACATGGAATATATTAGCTAATCAAGGCATAATCAGAAGAATCCCTATTTGCCACTTCAGTGGAACAGTTCCAGATCCTTAGATGATTTTCAGGCCAAGTTCTTTAAAAAAGATCAAAGATTTCCTAAGACCACAAAGAAAAAAATGGGAAAATTAATAGGGAAGATAAGGAGAAAAAAAGTTCCTTTTATAAGGAGATCGAAGAAAGATGCAGAAAGGAAAAGGAGGTCCAGATTTTTTTTAAAACAAAAATCAGAATGCAATTCCCTGTCTTTCTATCTTGGAAGGGGAGTCAGGGCTTAAAGCCAGAGGAATCTATTCACAAATCCTGAAGCACCCTCACGTAACCTAATACTTCCTTTGCCTAAGTGAAATGCAAATGTGCATGCATGTTTCTGATTCATTTATTCTTATTAAATGAATCCAAAATGTTTGTTCCAATTAAAATTGACCTCATATTAATTCATCACTTGACCCAAACTCTCTTTGTTCTATGCTTCCCTCCTTGTGTCCTCTCAAAGAAAAGATGTTAAATGTCAATACAAATACATGAGGAAAGTTAAACCGATCATGCCAAGTTCACTGTATTCCGTTCAAAACAATTTAAAACTCTTGTTCTAGCTATTTCTATTTGTCTCTTTTATTATGCAGCATTTTCATTAGCTCTACATAGTTTTATAACCAGATTAGAACAGTACAAAGACTTTTGTTTATGTTTTGAATTATTTTTAATTTGGGGGACTTTTCTAGGTACTGTATTATCTTCAGCAATAACTAGCTTTCACCATCTCATCCAGCTGTAAAGGTGTACTATATAAATCTGATGTCAGTGATTTGGGTCTAGGACAGTGTTGTCCAAACTTGGCCACTTTAAGATGTGTGGACTTCAACTCCCAGAATTCCCCAGCCAGTCATGCTGGCTGGGGAATTC